ACCCCCCGCCACGTGTCGCGCATCTTCGTGGAGGACCGCCACCGCGTGCTCTACTGCGAGGTGCCCAAGGCCGGCTGCTCCAACTGGAAGCGGGTGCTGATGGTGCTCGCCGGGCTGGCCTGGTCCACCGCCGACATCCAGCACAACACGGTGCACTACGGCGGCGCGCTCAGGCGCCTGGACACCTTCGACCGCCAGGGCATCCTGCACCGCCTCGCCACCTACACCAAGATGCTCTTCGTGCGCGAGCCCTTCGAGCGGCTGGTGTCTGCCTTCCGCGACAAGTTCGAGCACCCCAACAGCTACTATCACCCCGTCTTCGGCAAGGCCATCCTGGCCCGGTACCGGGCCAACGCCTCGCGGGAGGCCCTGCGGACGGGCTCCGGGGTGCGCTTCCCCGAGTTCGTGCAGTACCTGCTGGACGTGCACCGGCCGGTGGGCATGGACATCCACTGGGACCACGTCAGCCGGCTCTGCAGCCCCTGCCTCATCGACTATGACTTTGTGGGCAAGTTCGAGAGCATGGAGGACGATGCCAACTTCTTCCTGAGCCTCATCCACGCGCCGCGGAACCTGACCTTCCCCCGGTTCAAGGACCGGCACTCGCAGGAGGCGCGGACCACCGCCCGGATCACCCGCCAATACTTCGCGCAGCTCTCGGCCCTGCAGCGCCAGCGCGCCTACGACTTCTACTACATGGACTACCTGATGTTCAACTACTCCAAGCCCTTTGCAGACCTGTACTGAGGGACCGGGCCAGCTGGCCAGGGGCGGTCCCTGCCCCACCCACCCACCTGTGCACAAGGGTGTCCCACCCTCCACAGTTCCTCATCCGGGAGCTGAGATGCACCCAGAGCAACAGGGCTCTCAGGACGTGAAGGGCCGTGGCCATCGGGTCCAGCAGGCCCTAGGTGGGGGACAGAGGCCCTGGGCCTTGGATTGGGACCCTGACCTTTGTTCCATACCCACTTCCTCACTCCTTGGCTGAGGGAGATGCTGAGGGCTGAGATGGACAACCCAGGAGCTCGGCCAAGAGTTCCGATGAGCAGGGAAGTCTGAGGCCCAGAGGACAAGGGCCCCAGTGGTACGGGTTTCCCGCAGTCCCTTCGCCATTGCCTTGTACCAAACCACATGGTTTGCAGCTTTTCTACAACCCAGGGTGGGGAGGGAAGTTCCCTCAGAATGAGGTTCCCAATAAAGCACATGGTTTCCAGAGCAGCAGTGTCTACTCTGTGTGGTGGTGTGGGAAGACACGACCTTTCCCTATGCTGTCTGGAGCTCTTTCTGCCTCTCTGGGACAGCCTGAGTTAGGCACTTGCAGACTCCACTGCTGGGAAGCCCAGGACAGGAGCAGCCTGTGTGGGAGGGGAAAGCAGAGAACCCAGCGTCTCCCATTCAGGGGCCAGCAGCAGCCCCTCAAGTCCCGGAGGCCAGAGCTCAATCAACTGGGTCCTCCCCTCTTGGTTCCACTACATTCATCTGAAAAGGAGAAGACAGGCCTGTCCCCATGGAGGAACACAGGGATCCCTTCTTGTCAGTGTGCTTTGCAGGGGGCCCTCTGAGCCAGAGCAGTGGCTAGCTCTCTGGGCAAGTTGCTGCCACTGGTGTCAATAAGGTTTCAGTGAGCGTGGCTCCCCGGGTGGGGAGTGATGCTGTCCCTGCTTTCTGCCCCTCTGAGCTAAGCAGAGCCTTGGCCTGAAACTGTCATCTGCAGACCCCTGACCCTGACTGATCCCTTGCCCCATTCACCCGACGAACCACCTCAGAGATGTCAGGATTGCTCACGCTGATGAACCAGCTCTGGGGGAGGGGAAGAAGAAGGCAAAGAGGAAACTTCTCCATCAAAATCAAGCATTTTTACACCAAAAACAGTTCTGCGATTGTCAAAAGCCAGGGTGATTCTGGAAAGGTCTCAGAGGAAGTGTTTGTGGGAGCGTTGAGTGTGGCTATGTTTGGGTTCTGTTTGTAATGGGAAGTGCTGCCTGACTGATTCTGGGTGTCCCCGCTTCTGTCTGCCTGCTTCCAGGTCTTGGCTGGCTGGCTGTCAGCCTGTGTCTGCCAGGAGCCTCCATGCCCTGCTGAATCTTTCTGTGAGTATCTCTGTGGTTCCTCCCAGGAGATTGCTCTCAATCTGTCCTCACTGGTTAGAGGAGATGCTGCTGGCTCCCCGGGAAGGCACCGCTGGATCCTGAGGTGAAGACACCACTGGATCCCAGGGTAGACTCACTGCTGGATCCCAGGGTGGACTCACTGCTGGATCCTGAGGTGGAGGCACTGTTGGGCTTTGGAACCTTGCAAAGGAGGAAAAAGGAGCTGCGGCTGCCTCCTGCCTCCATGGGGCCACATCCACCAGGAGACCTAAGCAGGGGTGAGGCCGCACTCCTTGGAGTCTAGCTAGAAGTAGCCTGGACTATAAAACAGAAGAGACCCAGAGGCACAGGAAGGTGGGGGGCAGGAAGGCGGGTGCCAAGACTCACTTTCCTGTGTTGGCACTGAGCCCACTCTCTCTAAGCCCTGTGAGGCTTGGGGTTGGAGTTGGGGGCTGGAGTCGGGTCCAGCAGTACCTCAGTGAATTCAAGGTGGGGTCTTAGGGTCAGGCCTCCAGCCTTCAGTTGGAGGTCATGCTGGGGACCATCACATGGTTATATGGTCACTGCCCTGTAACTCCTGTCATTGCCACCAGGAAAGAAAGCCTGGGAGATAGAAAGGCAGGTGCCAGAGATTCAGGAAGCTGGAGAGGCTGCCCTGCTCCTTGGCCAGGCCAAAGTCATGTGAGAGGAGGCAGGGAGGGGCCTGGCTGATGAAGACCCAGAAATAGCCGCCCCCCAGCTCTGGTGCTCACAAAGGGAAACTGAATTCACAATGCAGAAGTGTCCCTGGTCACGGATGCATTTGGTGAAGCCTGAGGCAGAGTGTCACCATGTCATCTGCTCAGCAAGGGGACACCTGGAAGCCCATCTGGGGCAGCCTGCAGGGCTACTGCTGTTGCTTAGAGACAATCAGGATCTCCTTGTGCAGCCCCCCTTCCTCTCCTGTGTGAGCGTGCATGTGTGTGTGTGTGAGAGAGTGTGTGCGTGTGTTGGGCATAGGAGAAGATTTCTCTGTGTCGTCTCTCATAGATACACAGGCCTAAGCTTATGTACACACACAATGCATGCATCAAAGAAGGGCTTTTTTTCTGGGTGACAATGACACGAGACAGAGCAATGACCATAATCACCACTTGATGGCCCCCAGCATGAGCTCCAACCAAAGGCCAGAGGCCCAGCTCTGAGACCCCGCCCTGAATTCACTTAGGTGGTGCTGGACCCAGCTCCAGCCTCAACCCCAGCCTAAGCTCATAGAGCTTAGGGAGAGTGGGCTCAGTACCAACACGGGAAAGTGTGTTTGTGTGTGCATGTGTGTGTGCATGGGAGTCTGTGTCTGGGGTGAGGGGTGTGTATGTGTAAGCCTATAGATGTGCCTGGGGCTGGGGACCGTCAATAGTCTGTCTGCTCCCTCCTCTCTGGGCCACCTTGTGCTGCTCCCTCCCTGCCCAGCCCTGCCCCATCCATCACCACTTTGTGGGTAGAGTCTGGAGGGAGCCATCTGATCAGAGATGCAAGAAGTAGCCACAGACAGTTCCCAGGGATCAAGTAGGCCCATCAAGTTGGGAGAATAACCACCCAACCCCAGTGCCTCTTGGTCTCCCAAATGGGATCTCTCAGGCAGAGCCAGTGAAGTCCCCACCATGTCTTTGCCCTTGAAGGGCTGAGACCTCCCCAGATGTGAGCCCTGCTCTCTGATGGTAACGAGAACACACTTCCCCAAGCCAAGGGTCTCTCCTGGGG